GCGCGGAGCTGGGGCTATAGGTCTGGGAGCAGACGTAACTGGCGGCGTTGGCGTTGTCTGTGCAGGTTCTGCATGTCTTTCATGAGCTGCTGGCATCTGTGTAGGACTGGTTGTTGCTGCTTGCTGTCCAGTTGTCACGGGCTGTGACCGCGCTTGATCGACTGCTTGCCGGTTAAGCAAGACAATCTCAACTGAAGGCTTGGATGGTGTCTTGGGCTTTATCGCACGGAGAAGTTCCTTAGGTCGGGGAGGATTTCCCAAAGCCTGCGCAGGTGCCTTGGGCTGAGCTGCATGAGGATGCCTCAAGACTTCAGAGCGACTCTGAGCATCTCCTGGTAGACTCTCTACTGGTGAGTGGCGGGGAGGTGCGAGGACCTGCGATGCCGGCCGTAGGTTGTGTGGCTGTTCGCCGTTAGACTCCGCGAGTCCAGGAGACATTGCTACTTGCGATGCGGGCCCCATTTGCGCTGTTGGGGCACAGAACGGTTGCGCTGAAGTCAATGGTTGAGATAATGAAGGTGTGCGGGATAATGTTGAGGGTCTGGCCACTGGTGACTGTGATGATGACGGCGGTTGTGAAGTTGTCGTTGACTGAGATAGTGCAGGCCGACGCGCAAGAGCAGATGATGGTGATGGTCCTAAACGTTGTGGTGTCGTCGATACCCATGAGTTATCCGGTGGCCATGACGAGACTGGGTGCTGTAACCCTGAAGGCGGGCGTTGCGATGTTGGTGACCGTATTGCTGACGACTGAGAAGAAGGCGGAGGCTGCGACATCATTGGTAGCTGTAAAGGTGTCGAGAAAGACGGCGCTGTGGGGGAGAAAGGCATTGTCGCTGGCGGTGACATTGCGGGCGGTCGAGATACAATAGGTGACATTGATAACGATGACATTCGTGACTGGGCAACGAGTGCGTTGCGATTCGGGGTCCCTGAACGAGCTCGCCTCGACGCAGGTTGAATTTGCGGCCGCGACTCAACGACTTCAGTTGGAACACCCTCGGATAAGGAAGAAGCCCGACCCATTTCAGCGTACGAGAGGCGCGGCCGCGGAGTTTCATTGTTTGAAGATTCCGTAGCGACAGAAGAGCGCTGAGGTTGACTGGCCTCCCGTGTCTCATTCCCATAGTCGTTTTCCGTACGAGCAACACTGGCAGTCTCGGGTGTAGGCGAGGCAGACAAGCTTTCTTCCTGTTTCGTGTTGACAACGTCGTTTGCCGCGCTTGGAGGATTAACTGTCTCGTGGGCAGGTGCAGGTGTCGGCCCTTGATCTAGTTCTCTCTGTTCAGACTGCGAAAACTGGAACTCGAGATCCTCGCCTGCAGTTAGGAGATCCGCTAAATCGACACTGGGTAAACGTTCTTCTCTTGCTTCGTGTGACGAGCTTTCCTCCTCTCGTTCCGCGGTGACTTCTTCCGGTTCCTTCGTGGATGAGACGTTTTCGGCTGGATCTTCCTGAGTATCAAGAATAATCTCCTGATCTTCCCTATCAGACTGAGAGTCATTCTGCTGCGGAAGTTCCGGAGTTGAATCTTCTGGAGTTTCCATGACAATATCCTCGCTGTCCTCGGTTGCCTGTTGAGCGGCGCTCTCGGGAGGGCTTTCCTCCAAACTCATGGTGATATCTTCGTCTTCGACTAAATTGGGCTGTACGGGTGACTCGGCGACTTTCTCAGGTTCTTGTCTAGTATCCTGTGAATCTTCAACTTCCATCGGGGCGCCTTGTGCTTCTTCAACTTCCTTTTGGGTGTCCTTCTGCACTTCTCCGAATTCCAACATGGCGTCATTCTGTGATTCTCCAGATGCCAGCGTGGAGTCATTCTGTAATTCTTCAGGCTCTGGTAGAGTATCCTGCACTTCTTCGGATTCCAATTCGGGGTCCCGCGAGTCTTTGGTTTCCATCTGGGCGCTCTGTGCTTCTTCAGGCTCTAGCTGAGTCGTCTGCTCTTCTTCAGGTGATTCTTCGATGACCTTTTGCGCCTTTTCAGGCTCTGGTTGAGTGTCCTGCTCTTGTTCGGGTGCTCCTTCGGTGTCCTTTAGCGTTTCGTCAGTCTGCCCAGTCACATCTGCGTCTTCAGCCTTGTCAGCCTCGTCAGCTTCCGGGGCTGTGTTAGGCGTAACGGCGGCCTCAGCGTTCTGAGCAGGTTGGAAATCTGTTGAAGACTCTGCAACTGGTGATCGAGGAGCAAGATCCGACGTGGAGTCTACAGAAAGGCTATGTTAGAAACCTTACCTCATTCGCAGTCAGGTTACTTACTATCATCAGCCGAGTCTGGAATCTCATCATTTGGACCCAACAGCTTGGGCCGTTGTGCTGCCTCCCTCTGCTTGAGATATTCAAAAGCCTGATCGCTGTGCTCAATCATCAACGCCTTCTCCTCATCCCAAGGTTGGATTTCGTCGAGAGGGATCCAAGCGACATGGCACAGGTCAGGAAAATCAAGTCCCTCGAAGAACATGAACGGAAAGTGCTGTTCCGAAGCGTCCTCCCCTCCATCTTCATAACCCTCCGCCCAGGAGAATGACTTGCTGGAGCTGTCGTACTCATAACAAGGCGGTATGTTGTTAAGTAGCCCCAAAGCCTCAAGTGACTCTTCTATCCCAACGGATTCGGGATCTTGCAAAGGGATAAGCAGACCGCAGTACCACTGTTTCGATTGGGACCAGTAGATGATGTAGACATCTCCAGGAACCAAGTCGCAAGGATTAATGGTGTTTCGAGACTTGCGACTTGATCTGCCCTTTTTCACGGCATTACTGGCGTTTTTGTTCTTGCGCGATGTTTTGGGGTTAGGCGAATCAGTGACGCGAATAAAGTCTCGCGCTCCTCTTTGACCTTTTTGAAAGGCCTCGTTGGCGACTTTGTTATTTTGAATGAGTTTTTCATCGTCGCAGCCAATGAGCTCATAACCAAAGAGCTGGACAACAGTCTCAAATGAAGGGTTCTCATGCTGGTGGGCTTGAGTTAAATGCGCCAAACCTGACTGTAATGGATTGTCGTTAAAGTCGATGTCGTGATTCTCACATCGCAAGATGTAAAACTTGGGCGGGCGCACAGGATCCTGATCCTCATTCTCGGGGAACCGGATAATGATGTGCTTCTTGGCGGCGCGTTTGTTTTGGTAGACGGCATTAAAATGTATGGAATTTCTGTTACCTTGAATGCGCGGTCGCTTGTGAGAAATGGCGGAGCTGGAGGCTCGCTTCCTCTTGTTACGCGTCTCGGACTGTGAGGGTTAGCAAAAGTGAGGTGAGGTGAGGGCGCGTAAGCAAGCAAGCACGCAAAGGGCGATGGCTGGGCTGGCGCTGGCTAAAAGTGATGAGATGAGATGAGTAGGACGAAAACGAACCTCAAAAACTCCATTACAATCTGGGGTGAGCACCGCCCCTCCCCTCTTCATCCGCATTCGCGGCCTGCGCGGTGTGTCCGGATCAGCATCAGCAGGCGAATCTCCAGGGAGACCTAGGGCCGAAGTGTCGACGCCCATGTTGCCGTTGAGGGGGAGGCCGAAATCTTTATAACAGTTCAAGATGTTGTTCATGAGAGAATTTGCTTTCATCTCGTCTTGGGAGCGGTACGCCACATGAGCATCCCTGCACGTGCGGTCCCAGTCCGTCTTAAGCGGTCTTAACTCACTCGACAGAGCTACCAACGTCTCTTGTTTTGCTTGGCGCTGGGCCTCGCTGTCCTCGTCATCCGGGTCGAGTCCCTCAAGTTGGAGATGCAGCTCGTCGATTTTCGACTCCAGTTGTTGCAGTTGAAGAGGTTTGACCAGTATCGGCATGGGGGGCAAACTGGCTTTACTGGCTTCCACCATGGCCTTAATCTGTTCATGAAAAGCCAATCCAGCTGATTGGGCCCGAGAGCCTGCCTCCATGGCTGGGACGGAGTACCTAGTGTAGTGCGCTAAAAAGGAGAACTCTAAACGGAAAAGTGGGTGAAAGGAACCAAGACACGCCAGAAAATAATTTTAAAAAAATTAAAAAGGCCGACTTAGACTGAAGACATGTAAACAAAAGATGTCGAAGAAGAAGAAAAAATTTGGGGGGACAATCGAGTACTTTTTTTTTTTTTTGTTAAGGAAAGAATCGCGAGAGAAATTATGTGTAACCGTCCATCATCACATTGAATGCATCCAATGCATCACAGTACAGTCAGTACCTACAAACAAACAGAACTGGCCCGTGAAAGCGGTAGAGTGCACTAGCGACGGTACAGTAGGTCCAGTACAGTACAGTACAGTCATGGATTTAGTGCCTGGCAACCCCAAGCAGAACCAGATTCTGGTCAAAAAGCAAACGTATTTGCGACGCAACCAATGGCAAACACTCCAAATGTTACACATTCGCTCTCTGACCCCGCACGATTTGCGCTGAGACATGAGTTTTAGGCGGCCTGATCAGACCAGACCGAGCGAGCGAGCGAGCGAGAGGCTGCTGGCTGTTGGTTCTCACTACTCCGTACGGCTACGGGCAACATGGGTCTAGGCACCTAATCTCCAGCTGTTTGCTGAGTGTCATCATGTCTTGGGGACCCCTGTAATTATCTCATTACCGCGTATACATACTCGCAAACTCAAAAGACACGGTCACTCACTCATCATCTTCCCTCTGTCCCCTCCTAGTCCCCTCTCATCTATCTGCCCTTTTCGTTCCAGTGGCGTCACCTTAGTCTCAGCTCTAATAATTTGGGGAATGTAAGCCGGTGGCTGACAATTCGATCAATCAATGGCCCACCATCCATCATCGCCCTTGCTTGGCACTTCGCTCCTTTTCCTCCTACAGCCTCTAGTCTAGTCTAGGTAGCCTGCTAGCCTCCCCTGTCCATGCACTACAAGGATATACTAATCAATGCAATGAATGACCCACAATCGTGATAACTGTCACGTACAGTATGTGCCCGCACGCACGCACGCCATGGCGGTCGAATGATCGCCAGCTACCTGGTCCATTCAGCGCAACTAGTAGATGTGAGGCTTGCATTCACTAACTCAGACTTGTCAGACTATCGTAACCGTCGTTACCGTCTCCAACTCGAGCACCTCCGCCTCTTGACTATCCTTCAGCGACCCTAGTCCGATCCTCTCAAAGAGCTCGGGCTGTGTCGCTGACCGCCCCAGCACTAGCCACTCGTGATCTCTCTGCCCCTTATCCCCGAACGGAAATGCCCCAAGTCTCAGCACCCAACATCGAATCGCTGAATTACCCGTGGTGGGCTCGGTCAGGTGGTGTGTATCCCCAGAACTCCGCTTTCGGTTTAGCCGCTTCAGCTCCTCTGCAACATCGCTTCCCTTGTACTCACAGCTTCTTCTGCACACTGAGACTTCGCTGGCGTTTACAATTGTTGAGAGGCCCGTATCGGCGGAAAACCACAGAAGAGCCCGCCCGAACCGCACCGCGTACCAATCATACGGGCCCCGACTCTCGAGATACCCCATCGCCAACGGCCCGTTGATTATCATCCTGCTGCTGGTGACTCTTCCAAGTGGCGCCTCAGGACCTGTGATTGCATTGACCTCCAGCACAGTAGCTGCCTTCTCATATGGCCATTTTCCGTTTCGAAAACACAGGTAATCGACCTCTCCCGTGATTGAAGCCCAACTAAAGCTCGGGGCGATGTAAGATGAGTTGGCAGCTTGAATCCTACTGGCTGATGGCCTCCGCCACAACAGATCCAGATCAATGTTATCAGTCCATAGACCAGCCACGTAATCTGACCCGATCTTCTTCTGGACTATCGCGGCTATAGCTGATATCGCTGGGAGCTTATCGCCGGCCTGCGTGAGGTTTCTCTTGGAGTAATTCTCAATAACTTTGTGCCAGAAATTGAAGGCTTCACTATGTCGCGATATTTGACTCAAGGGCGTTCCCCCAAATTCACGCTGGTGGTTCAACTTTGATCCGCATTCGCAGAATATTGCCTCTTTGCATGTCCATGCCATCTCCATTGCGGATATAGACAGTAGCCGGGTTGATAGGACCTTCTCCTGCAGCGTCCAGCCTCGCTGAGTGAGAGGTTCCACGAGCGGCTGTTGATCCGTCCTGTGAGAAGGTCTCCACTTCCAATGAGCACCGGTTGCTTGCATGAGCCTAACTTTCAGTAGAATCGGAGGCCCCCTTTCGCTTCTCATTGATTCGCTGTAGATCGCGAACATGTCCTGGGCCGCTCGAGGTGGTGGCTTGAGTTGAGGCCGTAAAAAGTGACTGGTCACAGACGTTGATGACGAGGCTGCAATGGTCAAGAAAGCGTTGGCGTATGTATCGGCCATCCTAGTGCATTCTCTTTCCCAGTCGGCTTCGGAGTCTTGAATGATGCAAAGTGCATCTATCCATAAATATCTTACCCCAAGCTTTCGAGTGAGTGAGATTGCGTCAGTATAAGCGGCTGGAAGTTCTTGGAGTGCAATCCCAGCCTTCATGTTTTCCAGGTTCTCGGTCAAAGCTTTGATAGATGGATTTCTACCCCAGCAGTAACTGAGTGCGACATATTTCTCAGGTTTAAGAACCTCTGATTCAACGAGACAGATTTTATCATCCCCAGCGCTCCCTATATCTAAAACTCGGGTTGGCAAAGTAGAGTTGTCTTGCTTGCAGAGTTTGTGGTCATTGATACAGTTATAGAAACAAGCGTTGACGAAGCTTAAGCCTTCGCGTGATAAATGGTCATCACAAATGTCTGGCAAAGGTTTAACTCGTTTCCAGGTCTCTCCTTGAGCTGTATATGTTTGTTAGTACGGATCCATGGGTCTTTATACGCTTAGACAATTCATACCATAGTCAGTATAGAATTGCAAAAACATTTGCGAGCGCTCAGGATCGCCGAATAATATCTCTGGATTCCCATGTCCAATCGGAAGTCGAAGATAAAGCTGAATTCCCATCTGGTTCTCGATCCCCAACAAGCCTGAAGATGTGAGAGCCTTGACAATGAATGCGCAACAGTCACAACCTGAAATGGCCGCGCTCTCGAATTGTATGATGTCTCGAAGCACCAGTACTACGAGCTCTTTTGAGTCAACTCTGACATCATTATTGGAACCTGGTGCTACCAACTCTGGATCAAAATTGAAACAACAAGGGCAATGTTCGTGAGACATAACTAAAGGGCTCTGGTGGTCTTCCATGAGATCCGCGATAAATCAAGAATAATCAAGATGACGATTCGTCTCACCGATTCTCCACACGAACTACGAACATCTATCTTTTAGCACGTGATACCCACCAAGCAGAATGATACTCTTACTCAGCTAACGATGCAAAGAGTGAAACTTCTAATCTAGAAAAGCAATATCTACGCCGCTCATGACTCCCTTTTTTTGTTGATAATTATCGCTGAATACAAAACAACACCATGTCTAACAGTCAGGAACACTGACTGGAATATTAATGTGAACGCTCGTAGCCAATCCACTCAAACTCGTTTCCTTGAACTCGTTCCTCATTCCCTTGGCCGTCAGTCGCATCGCCCGGATAGCGTCATCCAGCCTCACGCGCTGCGTGCCTGTTTCACTGCTAAGCGCCAAGTTGGCGCTGGAGATGGCCTTTGTCGCGCCCAGCGCGTTTCGCTCAATGCAGGGAGCTTGGACAAGTCCGCCAATGGGATCACATGTCAGTCCAAGGTTGTGTTCGATGCCGATTTCCGCGGCTTGCTCGATTGTTTCAGGGCTGGCTCCCATGCAGGCAGCGAAAGCACCGGCGGCCATGGAGCAGGCAACGCCGACCTCCGCCATGCATCCTCCTTCAGCAGCTGAAATGGTGGCACCTCGCTTGTAAAGCATACCAATGGCGGCAGCAGTGAGAAGGAACGTGGGAATATCTCGCTCAGGGTCGTCGCTGATGAACTCTGTGGTGTACTTGAGCACAGCTGGGATAATGCCTGCGGCACCGTTGGTAGGAGCGGTGACGATTCGACCGCCGCCAGCGTTGGTTTCATTGACGGCAATAGCATAGACAGACAGGTAGTCCATGGTGGGGAATGTCGTCCGGCGAGAAGGAGCTGGAGCGATAGGGTGATCTAGAGAACCGTGAATCCGTGGCGGACCGCGCTTCCGAAGGCCGCCAGCCTTGAACTTCTCTGGCACCAACGGAGATGAAACCGCAGAGAGAGCTTTCGGTGATGAGCTGGCGCCATCCTCGTTGAGGTTGGATTCAGGCGAAGAGAACTTGTGCTCGAGCTGAGCAGCTGAAGTATCAGTAGTCGACGAGGGATACAAGCCGCGAGTCAATCGGCGGTAGAGCGCCGGCGCTCGTCGATGCAGCTTGAGAGATCCAGGAAGCTTGGAGCCTGTTGGTGCCTGGACACTTTCCAGAATACTGGCATCCATGACTCCCCAGATCTTGAAGATCTTTCGATAAATGTCCTCATCCGTATATCCTAGACTCTTCTCATTCTCATATACCAATTGCGCGATGGTGAGATTGTGTTTGCGACAGAGTGAAAGCAGACTAGCGGCATCTCGGAATGGGTACCGCGGATGCGGTGATGAGCTGGTATCTTTGCTCTCGGACTTGACATCGGTAGAGAGGCCGGTTGGCTCAGGCGAGTCTCCGAGGAGAGCTGTCGGGCCTTCATTGGCCTCCTCGAGGGCCTTGACTTCGGTGCCGGTTCGTCGATCTCCCGCGGCATCTGAGCGCCGGATTTCCTTGTAGTACATGTTCTCGGCCAAATCAGCCGGGTGAGCTGCCGTGTCCGAATCTCCGACTTCGAGCTGAGCAGGGGCGTTTGCGGAGAGGGTTTCTTGGGGTGCGATACTAAGAGCACCGTTGACAACGAAACCGCCGCCTACACTGAACATGTCGTTGGTGGCTAGGACGTAGCCTTCCTTGTCGTAGACAGTGAAGCGCATGCCGTTGCTGTGCTGGGGAAGCTTGCGACCCCATTCCCATATGAATTCCTTCTCGTAGTCGAAATCAATCTCCTTGCCTTTGGATCCATCTGCAGCCAGCCCACGTGCTAGAAAAATCTTCTTGCTGGACTTGATCTCTTCGAAGCGGCTGGGCACGTAGCCTGTGTCGACTGTTTCGACATCGGCGCCTTCGAGACCAAGGAGTAAAGCTGAAGGGGTCATATGACCTTCACCCGTGAGAGCAAGACTACCATAGATGGCGACGCGGATTTTGTTGACTTTTTGGAGCAAATTGGCATCGATCAAATCGTTGACAAAAATGTTACCAGCACGCATGGGCCCAACAGTATGAGAAGATGAGGGACCAATGCCGATAGAAAACAGATCGAAAGTGGAAATGACAGCGTGTTCGTGATCCGCTTCGCTGTAAGATCCCGCATCTTCATCCTGCTCATCCTGAGTTCTTCGTGGCCGTGTTGTGCTGAAAAGTCGATATGGCTGGCGTCCCAACAAAGTTGCTGATGGCGGTGTCGAGCGAGCGATAGGCCCCCTTACAACGGTAGCAATAGCAAGGGACCGGGGAGATAGACATTGTCTCGACGCCCGAAGCAGCGAAAGCTGCCTTATCCCTGCGCGACTCATTGCAGGTTCTGAAGATGTGAGAAAATGTTTCTTTCTTCTTGAAAAGTGTCTCCCTTTTTTGTGTTGGGTGTATTATTATATCGTAAGCCAAGAAACGTGGACCGCGCATTGCCAACAAGGTTATCCTCATTGGCCACGTCGCGTCGAGATGCTTATCTAGGAGCGGAATATCTTGTGCCCAGCGAATCATATTTAGCCGCGCTTATCTCCGGACTCGCTGCCGGCGGTGGGTCGGACGATATACCGGCAACCGGTCACGTGTCGGATATACGTACCAATCATCTGCTACCCCAGACCGATGTCTTCCGGTCTGCTTCACCGAAGTCACACGCCTTCCAAAAACATCCGGGCTATTATTATCTAGTTGCATCAAAACACCATTAACATTACGTTATTTGTCGATATTGGGGATAGTTTGCACTCAAATTGGTGGATTGCGGGGTACAAAGTCATAGAAACTTTAGTCACCGCGTAGGGTACCTACCCTATTTCTAGTCACAGAACGAACAAAAGAAATAAAAGATTGCAAGGCCGTAAGGTTGCAATATCTCCAGAGCTCGAATGGAGTATCAGTGGAGTTTTCATCAGGGTTCTCGGGGTGGAGGAGTCATCAAAGTCATGAATCATGGGTGTCACATGCTGTTTGGCATACATACATCCAAAACTCACACTCTGTGAGGACAAATAGCCGCGCTACCCAAAAGGTTGCATCTTTAAAGGTTGCTAATAGATCCTATTGAGTGAAATATATGCGGAGTAGGCAGGTGACCAAAACTAGGTTTTCCTAGCAATGTCAAAGATTTGCCGCGGTCAACAGTTTTTGTATAGCCATGACTATAATACCTTGCCCCGAAAGCAATGAACTAGGATCCAAAATTGTCATACTCATCTTGAGAACATGACCAGCTATTGTCCTAGGGGCTGGTTGGACATATCGTCCAATCGTATTGGCTCGATAACATGTGTAAAACCCTTCACTGCTGGATTCAGGTCGAAGATACGCTCCCCGTACAACTAACATAGTTGTAAAGCTATGGGGATGACGGCGGCCTATGAGGTTAAGCTTTAGGCTGCGAACAAAGGTGATGAATGGAAACACGATATTATAGTTGTAAAGCAAACAACACTGTGGCGGAATTGCAATGAGGAAAACATCGTAGGGTTAAACGAATTGTAGGGGCAGTATGTTTACCAAACAAACGCCAAACATCCCATGTTTGTTAATGATTTGAGTTTGCTTTCTGTGACGGATGGTCTCCATGATTTGAGTAAACAACATGTCAACAACATGAAATGTTTTCCTTCGCTTTCCAGCCGAGAGCTTCATGGGGAACTATAGGATGACTTGTAGTTATTGTTTGGGCTGTTTGCTCATGACAACTATAGATGACGGCGGCCTATAAGGTTAACAAGGCTGAAAGCTCACGTGGCTGATTTAATGATATTTCGAGTGGCTTAAGCCAGAGTTTTGGATTCCTGCCAGCATAGTACTATCTACCAGCTTAGCTCTTTGTGCCTCTACATGAGACTGAGCTGTCGATAAGGCGCATTAGAAGTCAGGTCGTTCGTAAGTCCAGCCTTTTAGAAGGGGTTTTGATTTGCTGGCTTGCTATGTCTCAGAGAGATGCTGTGGACCTAAATCGAAAATCAATTGAGTTCATATACTTGAACTTACGACTAGGAGCGGTCACAATCATATATACGCCTCAGTTCACCAGGTATAACGGTCGAAGGAAACCTAATGAAATTCGCTATGACTGTAAAAAAGACAAATGCTACTGATCTATGAATCGTTTGACAGGCTCATGTTGTACTCCAGCTCCCACTCAGCCTTGGGATCTCCTTTTCGTGGCACGAACTTCACTGTTAGGCCATCCTTGACAGCGAAGACACTATCGTTCTCGAGATATCCTGAGTCAGAATCAAAGATCTGAGTAACAATAGACTTGTGACCCTCAGCAATCACCTGCAACATGTTAGATTAGATACTTGACTGCTTCCGGGGCTTTTAGCTGAACATACCATGAAGTGCAGATGGGCAGGGCGGAAAGGGTGGCGGTCGAGGAGGTGGAGAAGCTGGCCAGCGGGGCCATCGTCAGGAACCTTGAGAAAGTGTTAGATTGTAGATCTTTGGAACGTTAACAGGACAAGATTGCTTACGGGATAAGGAGTAGGTCGTAGGCAGTAGAAGGAGTATCGACCCTGGTCGTCGGTGATGAACTTGCCACGGAGGTTGTGCTCAACCTGCTTCTCATCCTGCTGCTCGTAGAGGCCTAGGAGGAATTAGAGTCTGCAAGAAGCAATCGCGAAGTTATGGTCTTACCGTTGGTGGATGCTTGCCAAACCTCGACAGAGGCATTGGGGATGGGCTTTCCAGTAGCCGCTGATGTCACGGTACCGTAGAGGTAGGCGACAACACCGTCGCTGGGAGTGTCGAAAGTAATTGTGGTGCCATTCTCACGAGTAGGGGTATCATGTCGCCAGAAGGGACCCAGGATAGCAGTCTCAGTTGCTGCCACGCCATTCTTGGCTGCTTGACGGTGTGTAATATCATCAACAAGACTGAAGACTGTTAGTAATGAAGTTGAACGTTGTACGTAGTGAATTACCTCTCGAGACCAATAACGTCGCACATCAATTGACCCTCATTTCTCTTGTCGTTGCTCATTTGTCCAGCCCAGTTGATCATCTTGACAGCAGACATCCACTCATCGCAAGTGAGTTGTGTCTCGCGGGCAAAGTCGTGCATGTGCTGGATGAAAGATGTCATGACCTCCTTCAGACGAGGGTCAGTCTTGGGACCGAAAGAGTCGATGACTTGCTGTGTGAAGGCCTGGCCGAGACCCTCCTCCTTGGGAGCGCCGTTGGCGTTTCCGCCAGTCGCTGATGGTGTCATGTTGATAGAGTTTTGTGGGGTATTGATGGAGTTGAGGGGATGGAAGGAAGAGTGTTTGTGATGGTGAATTGGGCTTATGCTTGAGTGAATGAAAGAAGAGGTTTTCTAATAGGTCTTATGAAGTCCCTCTTATCACTGGAGGTTGTTTCAAAGTTGGTGTCGAGCAGATGACTTGACCCCGCATAATTCACAGTCAGCATGGTTCGATTCGGATATACAGACAGCGCCTCAACAAGGAGCGGCTAAGGACATCTCCCGAAAGGACATCGGGTGCGCGTTGTGAGCATCAGTGTCCCATGGGGCCAAGCGGCAATGTTGCAGCCATTTTGCGGGGTGAAGTCCCCAGCCAATTAGGGGACTGATGATTGCGTTTAGCACTCTCGGCAGAGGCGAGAATGGTGCCACACGCTTTTCGGATGTCGGAGCCAAGTTGATCGGAAGTACAGATGAGGGGACACCCTGACTCCGATTCCGACGCCCGGAATATGGAGCTAGAAATTAGTGTGTCGTATGATTCTGCTAGTGCAAATAAGCCTAGTGTAGCCGCTGCAAGTCACCTGGAACACGCCGAAGCCGTCGCAAAATCGCCATGATAGGAACGGAAGTGAAGAGCAGCATCAATTGTAACGACATCTTGTCACGCGACAAAACAATTAGTATTCTACAGTGGATAGAGAAGAGACAGATAGGGTTTGGATGATCTATGCATGTTTCAATTGGCTAGGTAAATGCTAAAGCTTTAATGAAGTAAACTACTTTGACAGCTTGCGATCGGCCTCCTCGCCAAAGTCCCATGTTGGCTTGTCTGCACCGTTAGGCCGACTTGCTCTCCTGAAGCCAACTTCCAGACCCTCAATTTCCACAACAGGTGGTACGGCCTCGACCTCAGCCTTATAAGCGTTAGAATACCACTTCTCGACGTATTTATCCCCAGTGAAGAGCTCAGGAAAGACTTGTCGCATCCTCAATAGCGCTGTTCCTGAGATCTGATCTACGCTGTGCGCATGTCGCAGGGCGAGGAAGTCAGGTCCGATATCCTTCCTCAATCTCTCCTTTACTTCCTCAGGGTATTGCCCGACCTTGAAGAGAAGCAAGTCGTAATGAAGAAGTGAAGCCTTTCCGTGCCATGATCCTCCACGGGTGGCGCGATGGTAGAGACCTAGCAAGGCTGTGATGGCACCAATGCATCCTGTACCGTAGTCTGAAATGGGAAAAGGAGGGACGACGGGTTCTGACAAGCCCATGAAGCGTCCCTGCTCCCACGCAATGCCACTGACCTATCAATCGGGTTAGTTCGATCTCCCTTGTAGTTGTAGATCAAGGCACTTACACAATCGGCAATCTGTTGCCACCCAGGTCGTCCAGCCCACTCTCCCTCGTAGCCAAAGCAGTTCTCGTTGACATACACAAAGCCCTTACCACGCTCCTTGGCAAGTTTTGTAAGTGCCGTAGCGCCGTATCCAAGCTTCTCCAGAGCTCCAGGTCGATATCCATCGACAACGACATCAGCTTCAGCGAGAAGCTTCTCAAACTCAGCTCTTCCCTCAGGAGACTTCAGGTCTAGCTCTGCAGCGTGCTTGCCCATGTTGCCATCTACCTGGAAGAAAGGAACGTCACTCAGATTGGGACTTGTAATCTTGAGCACATCGGCTCCATATTCTCCGAGAATACGGGTGACAATAGGACCAGCAATGATACGGCAGAGTTCAAGAACTTTGATACCCGACAATATCCGCTTTGGATGTTCTGGGCTTGGTGTGAGGGGACACTTGGGTGTTTCGGCCTCAAGATTGTCGACAGACCATGGTGGAAGTGCCATATTTGTCTTGCCCTGATCGTTTGTTAGATATGGCCTTTCATACGAGAGATCCAACTTACATGTTGAGTTTTCACAAAATCCTCGTGCTTCAAAGCAGGAACTCCAGCCTGCCGACGAGCAGCGTTCATGCTCTCAAGCTCATCTATCGAGAACTGTCGAACAGCCGGCTCGATAGCAGCAACGATACTCTCATGTGTTTGCAAATCTGGTCTGAAAGGCTCAAGACCAATCATCTTGAGAGTCGTCGAAGCCTCCAAGGATCCATGAATGTGATAATACTCTCCTGCGTTCTTGGTCTCATACAAGTTGGCTGACATGCGGCGGTAAGGATTTGACTGAGCCTGCAGCAAATCCGTATCTTATGATCGTTAGTTCCTTGGCTTCAAGGCCAACAGTTGTGGCGTATAGACGTACCTTTGAGTAGGGCCTTGACGCCAGGGTCAAGCTTTCCAAGACCACCAACTTTGGCCATATAAGCCTGGCAGAGGAAGGCTGTAGTCTTCTCCAAGTTGACATTGATCTTCTTCGGTTGTGATTCACCTTCGACAGTCTTTGCTAGCAGACTGGCGACGGCACCCTCTACTGCTTTAAGCGCAGCAGTTGTCTCCGTCTCCTTGAACGGGATAGGGAAGTATGGCGCATCTCGCGCTGACGTAAACTTGATGTTGTCCTTGAGCTCCTTCACAGCCGCTGGAAAAGCAACCTCATCGAACTGACCGCAAAGGTAGTCAAAGATCCTCTTACTCTCCTCCACCGAGGAATAATCGTGTTGGTTAACGCTTCCCATTTTGTCAGAAGTAGCTTATCGGTTATTGGCTAAAAAGAGGCATCCACCCGAGGGCATCTACAAGAGGTCGATTGTTAAGAGGGAGTCTTTATACAGTGACACAACTCGATTCGTTGAGTGGCGGAAATCGACGGCAGTTCGGACCAAAGCGATAACCCACTATATCTGGGTGATAACTACCTATGATATGTGGGGTTTGGGTGATGCATGACCCATAATGAGCGAAAGATAGTGTCACCAGTGGTTGAGTTTGCTGTGAAGACCCCATATTTTAGTGGTGGAGGTCGGCTGTGACCCTTGCCGATGGCTTTTCGCCCGGCTTCCGATGCTGAATGTGAGCCGTAAAGACCCGCGCTAGAACATATTGAGGCATTTGAGAGAGACCTTGGGGATTGAAGATAGTATATCGACAACAGAGAATACTCCCGTCGTATCAATCGCTGTCAGTCTATCATCCAGTCTGCCAACATCTCTAATCAATATGCCGTTCATCAAAGTTCAGAACAAGACGCTGTTTTACGCCCAAGTGGACGCTGAAACAGCCTCAAAAGATGGCCCAGTATTGGTATTCATCCATGGCCTTGGATCGTCTCATTCGTTTTATATACCCGTCATGAACCAGCTTGCGGCTGCTGGATACTCATCAATTGCATTGGACGTCTACGGTCAGTATTTACTTTATTTTGTTTGCAGGAATTAAACACTGAAGATCAATAGGCAGTGGCCTTTCCGTTTTGTCAGAGGGGGTTGAGGATCCAACATTTCACACAATCGCGAGTGATGTCAAGGCTTTACTGGAAGGGTTAAGCATTCGACCCGAAAATGCCGTCGCTGTTGGACATTCCATGGGCGGTATCATTGTACCAAAGCTGGCGCTGAAGTGCAACCTTCGCGGGTCAGTTCTCATTGGTCCTGTGCTACCAAAGCCTGCAATGGCCGAGATCTTCAATACTCGCATAGAGACAGTCAAGAAAGGTAAGTCAATTGAAATGGAAGTACAAAGAGTATGATCTGGTATTAATATTGAGTTTAGAGGGAATGGAGCCAATGGCCAAGGCGATTCCCTTCGCTGCGACAGGTTCCAAGGCAACTTTGACACAAAAGGCATTCATTCGAGCTCTGTTACTGTCGCAAAAGCCTGAGGGGTACATTGCCTTGTGTCGCGCGATTGCGCAAGCAGACTTGCCTGCCTACGCAAACATCAAAAGCCCCGTGCTTGTTCTTTCAGGCGAAGAGGACAAGACAAGTCCGATTCCGGATGCGCAAAAGATTCTAAGCGGGTAAGTACTTGCCGTCACTGCAGGGTCATTAATTGAAGCAATCGCCGCTGACTTTTACTTTAGTTGGGGCTGCAGCGACTCGTCGAAGATCATGCATATTTTACCTGGAGTTGGTCATTGGCACTGTATTGAGGCAGCAGATGAAGTTGGTTCCAAAATACAAGAGTTCTTATCCAAACTGGGTTAAGGGTTTTAGATAAGATATAGATTAATCAGTATCAAAATGTATTTCTTCGCGACTTCAAACCCAAGAGATTGTATTCATGATTGCTACTGCTGTAATGCGAGACTCTATGTTTGCTGTGACCAAGCCATCTCAGCACTGACTCAGTAGTTACCAGGCAGGAATTCAGTGGTGTTGACCCCTCAATGTGACCATCGGCTACAGGGATCTTTCCATCGGCAGCTCGGTAATAGTGAATGGTGCGCCAATTTACGTCAGCCGGAATGTCACCAAATCTTACCCCATTCTCGTGGCCAAGTAACCAATAAAGACCTGGACATATCCGACAGCTCGCGGCCCGCGGTTCACTCCCTCAGTTCCAGGGACCTCACACGACCTACCGACGACGAAATGCCTACCAGGAGGGTCCGAGACTCTGAGAGAAGGCGATGCGCCGAGGCCTGCGAGAGCTGCAAACGTCGCAAGCAGAGATGCGATGGCCGTAGACCCTGCGCCCGCTGCATCAAGCGAGGTCTCGGGCATGAGTGCCACGAGTCTCAATCTGCCTCAAACAATGGTGCAAGACGCATCCTCGCGTCATCCCTACCAAGTCCCGATCCCGATAGACTCAGTAATATCACCGAGCAGACCACTCCTGCTGGTAGTATAACCGTCGGAAACAGATCGGGTCTGACCTCGGTGGATGAGACGTATGTTGATGACGGGACCTCTTCTTCTCTGCAGCTGCTCTCGAATACACAACCTGAAAGACTTCCACGTATGTCGCGCCTTGTTCAAGATACGAGAGGTGAATACATGTTCATTGGCGACTCTGCAACGCTGTCTTTTCTGCAGAATATTAGGAGGATTGTGCGACGTAGCATAGGAGATTGTACTCTTGTTGATGACCCATTGCGACATGGCATCGTCGAAGCATCGCCTGAAACACGG